TTACCTCTACTCGAAATCACATGACCAAGGAAACTCACTTACTTTAACCAAAATTTGCACTTATAAATCTTAGCATACAACCGCTTCTCTTTCAATACAGATAACATAATCCTCAGATGCTCGACATGTTCTTCTTCACTCTTCGAATAGATCAAAATATCATCAATGAAAACAACCACAAACTTATCCAAATAAGGATGGAAAATCCTATTCATGTACTCCATAAATACACCTGGTGCATTAGAATACTCATAGTGTCCATACCTCGTTCTAAAAGCAGTCTTTTGAATATCCTCAGCCTTCACGCGAATCTGATGATACCCAGATCTCAAATCTATCTTACTGAACACACTCGCACCAACCAACTGATCCATCAAATCATCAATCCTCGGAAGTGGATACTTATTCTTGATAGTCACCTTGTTCAATTGTCTGTAATTCACACAGAGTCTCATGGAACCTTCTTTCTTCTTAACCAACAACACCGGTGCACGCCACGGTGACACACTCGGACGAATACTCTCTTCTCAAGTAGATCTTCAAGTTGACTCTTTAACTCTTTCAGTTCCGATGCGAACATACGATATGGAGCCATCGATATCAGACTAGTTCCAGGAATTAAGTCGATTATAAACTCCATTTCTCGTTCTGGCGGTAAATCCATTATCTCCTCAGGAAAAACTTCCGGAAAGTCACGGACAATTGGTAAAGCATCAATCGTTCCACTTTCACCAATACTCAAAGTTGTCACCAACATAAATACCTTCGCACCATCTTGCAGAGATTTCTTCACTTGCTTAGCAGTCATAAACAAATCTTCTTCATCCTCAGGTTCAGGAAAAATAACCGTTTTGTCAAAACAGTTAATATAGACACGATTGAATTCTAACCAATTCATCCCAAGAATAACATCAAGTTGATCTAAGTGAAGACACACTAAATCAACTCCAAAGTCTTTACCAAAAATACTCAACGGACAATTCAAACACACATACGGGGTAGTTACCGAACCCATAGCAGAAGTATCAATAACCATACCTCCACTCATAACAGACAACTCAAGACTTAATCTCTTAACACAATCAAAGGAAATAAAAGAATGTGTAGCTCAAGTATCAATTATAGCGATCAAAGGTATACCATTAATGAAACACGTACCTCGGATCAATCGATCATCATTAGCAGTCTCCGATCCCGATAAAGCAAAAACTTTCCCACTCCCTTGAGTCTTATTTGGCTTGTCACACTTGGTATTAATGTGCCCTTGCTCACCACAGTTGTAGCAAGTCACATTCGCACCGCTTCTGCACTCAAGAGCTTTGTGGCCTGACTTCCCACACTTAAAACATTTCTGCTTAACACTTTTGCACTCGGGAGCACGACATCCCTCTTCACCGTATCTAAAACATCTCACCGGAGTGGAAACTCCTCCCCCACTCGGCTTCTTGCCGTAACCAGCTTTCTATTTGCCATTCTCTGCAGGAGTCGCATACGACTTTCCTTTAAATTGACCTTTTCCTTTCTTGTCACTTAAACTCTTGTAGTGGCTAGACCGAGCCCTACTATCTTCATCATAAATTCTACTCTTGTTCACCAACTCAGAAAATCGCCTAATTTCCTGATAACCAACAACTTGCTTAATTTCTGGCCTCAAATCATTCACAAACTTGAGACACTTGGATCTCTCAGCATTAGCAGTGTTATAATGAGGACAAAACTTAATCAATTCCTCAAACCTTGCGGCATACTCGACCACAGTTGAGTTACCCTGCTTCAGCTCAAGGAATTCAATCTCCTTCTTACCACACACATCTTATGGAAAATACTTCTCTAGAAATGTCTCTCTAAAAAGATCCCAAGTAACCAAAATCTCATCCTCTTCAAACCTTTGGTGAGTGTTACCCCACCAGTCCTCAGCTTCCTCTTCCAGCATATGAGTGCCAAACTACACCTTCTGCGCATTCGAACAATTCATGACTCGAAAGATCTTCTCAATCGCTTTCAGCCAAACTTGTGCTTTGTCAGGTTCATGAGTTCCTTTGAAAATTGGTGGATTCTTCCTTTGGAACCTTCCCAAAGCACGAAACTCATCATCAACGTTATTTCCAACATTCACATTGGCTTGAGGATTCTGCCCAATCGCTCCATCCAACCTCGTTAACGCCTCAGCAATCGCTTCATCATTCTTGTCTGCAACTATTGTTCTTGATTCTCACAACAAATCCTCGTTAGAACAACCATATGGATAGTGCTACACACATATACCAAATGCATAAGGGAATGAACACGTTAACAACTTGGTCAACAGACCGACCTGCTCTGATACCACTTAATGTAACACCCCCTTCTATACCCCCAAATAAACAAATAAATCACATAATAAAATTTTATCAGAGTAAATTTGAAACATGGTATAAAAGAAGTATGTCACATCATTCACCAAAACAACATACAACACCTGCTCTATAAAAGACATGCAACAGTGGGGTAGTTCAACAAAGGAACTTAGTCCTTACACCCACATCTCAACAATTAGAATTAAAGCGGAAAATCTAAACATTGAATCACTTAAAACATGTAATCATATAAATACATATCATTCAGTTTGTTTCACCACATCATTCAGTTTTACAAAATATTTACCATCAGATACATATACAAAATGTATCCCAAAAGAATACTATACAATCCTAACTACCCGGTGCTACATATCAGAGCATAACCGACCAAAAGAATGAAGCTAAACTTCATAAAAGACCTCCAGCAAAGCTAATCTGCAATGCCTCATAGAGCATTATAAAACAGCAGAAGGGTGAGAAATATTATCATAATAATCAATGCATATAACTATATATATATATACATACACAAGTATAGAACACATATATTCCATATTTCTCACCACAATTCATTTTAATCATCATATACATCACAACATATGTACAAACAAATATGGATAATTACCAAGCACATTTCATCATGCATACATCCATAATTCTCAATTCAATACTTCACATATGAGTATACTTTCATACAACAATACACATTAATCATGTGACTCAATGCAACTCATGCCATGTGGTACCAACACTTGTTATCATTTTTCGGTTTTTACACTTAAACCGGGTCCACCCTTCTAGACCGATAACAACAAAGCCCGTTCCCTAAGCTTCCAAACCCACCCTTCTAGGTTTGGGACAAGTCACTAGTCTCCACAAAACTAGCAAACATTGCCTCTTGACTAAATGATGCATATGCAATCAATCACCAAATGCACTTAAGACCGTTCCCGCATCTTAATCCCATGCATTCAAATAATTCATCACTCAAGAATTATAACATGACTGCACACACAACATAATCATATTCAATATCATCAATATATTTACCAAGCAATGCACACATATCCACAATATGTTCTCATGCATTCTCAAACACAATCGCATACAAACAATATGCATTCACAACAACGAATTCAATAACATTCATCATGCATTTTAATCAATTAAAACAATGCATTATATTTGTCAAAAGACCATATTCATAATCAATTCCACAATCTAGGATTCACGCCATACGGCTACCCACAACATATATTTCACAGTGTACAATTACTTATTTCCAGCAAGGATCGAACACAATCGAACAAAGAAATCAACATAGGATGGAATCACAAGAAAACCAAATGCTGTCACGCTCGCTGACTTGCTCACCTAGCGAGTCTCTAGCGAATACTCGCTATCTGTTCGCCTAGCGAACAAGCTTGCGAAGGCAAACAGAAGCTACTGACTTGCTTCGCTACCCAGCTCACTACAGCGAAGTCCTAGCGAACCTTCGCTACCAGCGAAGAACCTTAAATCCATTATGCCTAAGTTTGAGACCTCTCGCTAACTTGCTCGCCTAGCGAGTTGCTAGCGAACGCTCGCGACCTGTTCGCCTAGCGAAGGTGCTAGCGAACGTCTGCGAAATCGGAATTCCTCACTGTCATCAAGTCCTCAACTCTTCACAAAACCGACCAATTCTCACGAAACAAGTTCCATAACCTTAGTCTAACCTCCCTCGACTAAATTATACCACTTATTCTCATTTTCGACCGTTAAAACTCGGTTTCTATCGATTAAATCCACTTTGCTCTAAAATGGAAGTTGTAGAAAAACATCCAACAATCTAACCCAAGCATACATAATCATATACATTGATATCATAACAACATTTCACAACCTTACCTCGATTAAATCGATGCTTGAGAGTTGTTCTTAAGCTTTTCCAACTTTTCCTTCTCCTTCTCTTTTCTCCTCTTTCTCCTTCTTTCTCTATTCTTTCTCTTATGTTTCTCTTTATCTCTTTTCTTTCCACTTTTCCTTTATAAGTCTTTCCATTCTATTTCCTTCCATATATTCTCCTCTCAAATATCTACCAATAATTCCAATAATTAAAATCATCCAAATAAATCAATTAATTAATATAAATAATTAATTATTAAAAAATTAGACTGTTACAACGCCTATGTGTAAAAAAAATGAATGCATGCGCTAAATTATTCGGATACCTCTTTTTTTTTTTAAACATAGTTTTTTGAAAATATAATTATTTTAGAATTAAAAAAAAAACATGATTATCTTAGAAAAAACAATTCTGAAAGTACAGTGTCACCAGAAAAAGAATAAATAAAGAAATTATCCAATCCAGTAATTCGGTAAATGGTGCAGAACACGTGGCAGGCACCGAACTTGTTGGTATACGTCACCCCACTCGCACCGTTGATGCTCTATGAATCGACCTCCGATACCCGCGGGTCATTTTAAAACACTACTCCCTCACACGTTTCTTCGATTTCTTCTTCCATCTTCTCTCTTCTCTCATCTCTCTCACCTCTCTCACCTTCTCAATTTCTCCGGCGACGATCTCAGATACCGGTAACTCCCATCGCCGCCAAACCCTTGCTATCCTCTCTACATCCGACTCCTTTCAATTCAAATCGTTTCCATCTTCTCACCGCCATGAATCCTGAATAGTAAGTGCCAATTCTCCTCGCTTTTGCCGTTTCTGCTTCACTTCTCCGAAATTTCGGGAGCAAAAAGTTCGTTTCATCTTTTTTAGTATTTTGATTTTTCTGCATCGAGCTTGTTTAGATCTGTTTTATTAGTCGGTGGTGAATTTTGAAAGTGTCTTTGATGCATGGTTTGTGAAATTTGTTCCTGGATCATGTTTCTCGAAATTCGTAGCTGATTTAGATCTGTTTGTTTAGAGGATAGATCCGTTTGCTCATCATGTTCAGTTATGTTTAACCTATTTTCTAAATGTTTGATTCAGTGATCATGTTCGGGTTGTGATTTTAGTTTTAGAGTTCTTTCTGATAGTGATGATATAACTGCAGAAATTGGGTTGGGTTAGTATCTAACAAGAGATGCATAATTGTTCATTAGGTTAACACGAGAGAATTGAGTTCTAACAACATTATGATTAGTGATACTGCATTTTATTCTGGGATTATTATAGTTTGTTTCTTCGGTGGTTGGATTTGTATTGCCGGTGTGAATAAGGGGATCCTGGAAATTCTATTCTATAGATAGATCTATGAATATGATGTTTATTAGCAGAACAGGGTCCTTCCTAAAACTATTAGGTTTGAAAATTTTATGAGATAGATAAATATCTCTTGGATTTTAGTATTTGGGAATTACCAAATAGAGACCAAATCTTGAAGTATTTTGGGCAAAGCTAGTGAAGTTCATGTAGATCTGTGTGTTAACAAATATTGTACAGATCATTTCACAAATTAATACTCTCCATCCCACCACAATTAGTGATCCAGTGATCCAGATGAGAGAAGAATGCTTTCACCAAAGTACCCTTTATCAAGTATTAGTATTGTGAATGATGAAAGTAATATTAATTAGAGGGTAGAATTGAAAAAAATAATTAATATTGCATTGGAAATTGAAAAGGGTCATTCATTTTAGGACAATTTTATTTTACAAATGAATCACTCATTGTGGGAATGAGGGGAGGGGGTTTGTTGTCGGTGCATGACTTTAATCTAAGATTAGTTTTCTTAGTAATTATGAATGAAGTTCTATATACATGGCTGCCTAGCCTACGTGCTGCTGTTTAGACAATCATGATTTGCTGTCTACTGTGGCACTCATGAGCTGGATTAGGCTTCTGTGATTTTCAAGGCTCATAACTTTGGCCTACTGAGCTTGAGTTTTGCTGCTTAATTTGGACATATCTCGTGATATGCATACAGTGTTATGTTTTTGGTCTACGTGAACCAATCCTGCCTGCAATGGTATATTATAAAGTAATTATAATTTCGTTATTATTTTACTATATATAAATGGTTGTTAAAAGTTAGTCCATTATACACAAATTCAATTGGACCAAATCACACTCACCTGCTTTGCCACCGTCCATTCTCTTTATAAAAGGGATAGACATTCATTAATAATATCACATCTTTGATTGTAGCATATGTTATTTTCAGTGACTATTTGTTCAAGCTTTTGTTGATTGGAGATTCTGGTGTGGGCAAGTCATGTCTCCTCCTGAGGTTTGCTGTAAGTTCCGAGCCCCTGTCCTTTCTTTATTCCTTCTTTAGGCAGCCTATGCTTCATGGTTACCTGTTTCCAATTAATGAAAGATGAAGTTGAATATTCCTACTATTCCATTTCCATATGAAGTTGAATATTTAGAACTTTGGATATTATTTTTGGCATTGAAAATGCATAAGATGTCACAATCACATTCAGTGAGAATTGGAGAGGGCTATTTGCATGAGTGAAAGGAGTAAATCTTGACTATAAACCATGTATGGTCATCAATATTAGTTTTTTTTAATCAGTCACATCATTTCACAGAGTTGCAACTTTATTCATGTCAATTCATGGTTAGATCCAATGGCAAGATTTACTCCTCGCATAATGACCGACTCTCGCATGATGATGTAGGTTACACTTATTAATATTTTTTTCTTCCCCGAAACAGGATGATTCATACCTTGACAGCTATATCAGTACCATTGGAGTGGACTTTGTAAGCATTTCATATACCACCTAACCTTATTTCCACGTTATTTTCAACACAATTGTGGGGCTGAATATTTAACATGCTCCCTTCTACAGAAAATACGTACCGTTGAGCAAGACGGGAAGACCATTAAACTTCAAATTGTAAGTCACTGATCAAGTTGATGTTGTTTGAATATTGAACAAATTGTTTTTGGTCCTGATGGGAATTTTATATTATTCATTCTATGCCCATTTGTTTTCTACATCTAAGTTGCATTTTGAAATTGTCTCAGTTAGACGTTCAAAAATGAATATGAACATTCCTTGAAACAATGATCCATGAGAAGTTAATCTCTCATGTACCCAAGTATATCTTTCTATTTCTCTTTTTTTTGGTAATTATTATATGTTTATTTGATAAGCGGCTCATTCCTAGTTTTTCCATTTACCAATTATCGTGATTAACTAGGCTTGTTGCTTTACTGTATCCTAAAATTGTTGGCATATTTTTCTGCATATTTTTATTGAACAGTGGGACACTGCTGGTCAAGAACGTTTCCGTACTATCACTAGTAGTTACTACCGTGGGGCTCATGGCATAATTGTGAGTCTTTTTAAACCGGCACTTTGTCAGCAGTTTCCTTTTTATATTATATTGGGAAACAATGGTGTAACATTTCATTTCTTTTCTGCAGGTTGTTTATGATGTCACTGACCAAGAGAGCTTCAACAATGTTAAGCAGTGGCTGAATGAAATTGACCGCTATGCAAGTGAAAACGTTAACAAGCTTCTAGTTGGAAACAAGAGTGATCTAGCGGATAATAAAGTTGTGTCCTCTGAAACAGCAAAGGTGATCCTAAATTTGTTGATATGTCATATACATGTCCCACTTCTTCTAACATTTTTTTGAATCCTTCATTTATCTAATGTTTGGATATTCGTGTTCTCCATATTTCAGGCATTTGCAGATGAAATTGGAATTCCTTTCATGGAAACTAGTGCTAAAAATGCCAACAATGTGGAACAGGCTTTCATGGCCATGGCTGCTGAAATAAAAAACAGGTATGAAATTTCTATATGTAATGTTAATGGATCTTGATTAGCAAATCTACCTCGATGAATGACCCGATTTGCCTGTCCCTGATACTTTTCCCCACAGAATGGCTAGTCAACCATCAAACAATGCCAGGCCTCCAACAGTTCAAATCCGAGGACAGCCAGTGAACCAGAAGTCTGGTTGCTGCTCGTCTTAGAGACTAAATATTCATGGTCTTAGACAATCATATGTGTCTCTGTGGCAAGCAAAACTAGTCTCACATAATGCTTTTATATGAAGATTGTTCGCCTTGATTTACTCTTTATCATTCAGCTGGTTGTTAAAACTTTCATTCTTTTCAATGTATTTGATTCTTAAAAAATATGTACAAAATTAGGAATATTGTTGAAAAGCAGTATTTACCTTGTTCGTTGTCCCAAGCACAATTTACCTTTACGCAATAGCTTCTTCTCATATTTGTTCAGACGGTAGGAGTTGAATGTTGTTCAATTGCATTGTAAGTTTAAGAAATAAAATATATAGAAAACTGATTATCTTTTTTGCTTTTCATTTGATCACTTGTCTAGGTAGGAGTTGGATGCTGTTCATTTGCATTGTAAGTTTATGAAATAAAATATATAGAAAATTGATTTTTTATCCTTGAAAAGGTTCACTTGTTAGTTTCTTTGCTGAACATACCTTTAGCTCTAGAATATAATTCTAGAGTAATCGTTACGAAGGAAAATGAGCTGCAGTGAGAAGCTCTGGCCCCTCTCTAGTTTTCCTTTGTTAAACTTTTAGGTTATGAACAACATAGAGTGGAAGAAAGTAGTAAGGAGGGGAGCATCAAATAGGAGGGCAGAGAGATGGGATATTCATGCGACTGAAGAAAGTAGTAAGGAGGGGAGCATCAAATAGGAGGGCAGAGAGATGGGATATTCATGCGGCTGGAACCAAAGGTGGAGGAGGGAAGGAGGGGATGTTGTCGGTGTATTTTTTGGAAATCCTTGAACATATTAAGGCTGTTGACGTTTTCAAGCTTTTTAGTTCTTTCGGCAGCGTGAAGAAAGTGGTCATTCCTCCTAAGAGAAATAAGTTTGGGAAAAGATTTGGCTTTACAAGTAAGTGGTGATTTGGCTTTACAAGAAAGTGGTGACTCTTAAAGGCAGCTCTACAAGAAAGTCAAGTAAGTGGTGATTTGGCTTTACAAGAAAGTGGTGACTCTTAAAGGCAGCTCTACAAGAAAGTCAGTGACTCTTAAAGGTAGCTCTTTAGGAAATGGTATTAGGGAGGTCTTGTAGAAATTTGATAACAGATTGAGGATGATTCATAGGGCTGAGAAATCGGTTGCAGGGAAAAGGTCTTTTGTTGAAGTGGTAAATGATAGAAGGTTTGCAGAAAATTTATTCAGGTGTTGCAATTGCAACGCGAAAAATAACCGGCGGAAAATAGAGTCGCCTCCGAACATTATTTATTCCGACAAAAAAAAGGAAACGATCGAAGAAATCTCAAAAAGGGAAAGAATATGGTATTGCAACCAAATTTCGGGTCTGGGAGTCGATTACGCGAGAGGAAGATGTTAGCACCCCTCGCGCCGTTGTACTCAATTGGATCCAATATTGTTATTCTAATCAAAGGGTGTGGATATCTAAAGCCTACTTGTTAACGGAAACGAAAAAGGGAAGAAAACAAAAGGAGACTCGATAGAACTTTGCCGTCCTATGCCTATGTATTCCCTCGTGCAATGGGTAAGTCAGAGTCAACGCAGTTCAGAAGACTACGAGTGAAAGGGGGAGGGTGCTCGCCAAAACTTCGCTGTCTTGTGCTTACGTATCTTCGTTCGGACGAGAATGAAGAAATTAGAGCGTTCGTAGTTCGTAGGACTACGGGTTGCTTAGTGTCTTTTATGAGCGATGTTAAGTTCGCATTCCAGTAGTTAGGGACGAGGTCTGTTTGTGATAGAACGGAAATAACATGCCCTTTCTAAAAAAAAGGTTTGAAAGGAAATCTCAAAGGACAAAATGACTCGCATTTGTTTAAGTTTTTTAGAGAAGTAAATTAACTTTGTTTGAGATGTGTGCTACACTAAAGTCTATGACATATGATCGAATACTTTGCAAGATTGGCCAAAAACGGGACGTATGCAAAGCACTCTAGACAAGGTAAGGAGAGACTCTCGCTTATCATTTCTCATGTACTTAATGCTCGTGACGTACTATGCTCATCGTATTTATTACGTATTTTGACTTGGTTTAAGAGATAGAAGAGAGAGACTCAAAAGGCAAAAGAAAAAGACTAAGGGATCTCCACCCTAGATGTTGTCATGCTAAATGGTCCTATAGTTGAGATGAGAAAGAGAATTCTACCCTAATGTTATCATGCAAGAGATGGATCTAAGGTTGAGATTAAGAGGGAGCTAACTTAATGTTGTCATGCAAAGGATTGATAGCCTAATGTCTATCATACTCTAAGCTTAATCAGAAATTAAGTTGGACTAGGAACCTTGAGGGAGCTTGTGAACAAAGCACAAGTAAACATTATACAACTCAATCACAAACAACATCAAGTACCAAACAAGACCCAAGTAAAGATTCAAAGATGAAAGATCATGCTATCAAGTATTCAACTTAAACACTACACAAAGTATGAAGATTCAACAATCAATTCATAAATGGCAAACATCAAAGTTAAATTAAGACATGCCTCAAACTTGAATCAAAGAAACAAGAATGGTGTATGAAGTAAACACTTAGCACACATTTCAAATATCACAATTCATGCTCAAAAGAATCCAAAGATTAGAATTGAGGAAGATAGGCAATGACAAACAATTAGTGCACAAGCATTCATGATTTGAAATATCAACCAAACATCACTAATTTAACACACAAAGGGAAAGTAAACTAAGTAAGATGTGAATCCATAGAGGCTAGTAGCCACACCATAACATATTCAACACACTTCAAAGATTGAGAAATGAACACAAGAGTATGACACATGAGCTACATAAATAGTTAAACATATGTTAACAATTAACTCATGGAAAACAAACCACAAAAGATTAAACAAATGAGATTAGGGTATGAGATCGTGTAGCATAACCAAACATTTCAATTTAAAATCAAGCTCAAGATAGCAAGAAGGTTCACCAAGTATCATATTCAAAACATGCATAAACAACTAGATAAGCATCAATCAAAATCATCCTTAAAAAGAAAGCAAGTATCCATGAGAGGTAAAAGAGACAAATGATCAAGCAATTGGACATTGAGACTTGGAAGGTCAGTAGCCTAAACAGAGCATTCAAGACATACAAGATCCATGAACATCAAGAGATTTCATAAAAGAAACAAGTCCTAAGACTAGGTCAAAGATTAGGCAATGATCATATGTCAAAACTTCCACAAAAGACATCAACTAAGAATGTCTCAATGACAAAAAAAAATATAGTTCTAAGGCTCTAACTCATGGCCAAACCATCAAGAACAAGTGAGAAGAAGATTCCAAAGAGAATTGCACAAGTGCATCATAAAAACAATTCAACAAGTCAAGCATATTTCAATAATTAGGCATGAACCGGGGCTCAATAAACTCAATTAAAAAATGATCAAGAATGCATCATTAAGGTATCACAACATCACTCAAATCCTAGGAATTTATGTGCCTAAACATGGTTAAAAAATTGGCTCAAGAAAGTGTCCTAAAGTGCATCAAATACAAACCCTAATTCAAGGACAAACATGTAAAAATACCTTTACAAAATAATTTCAAATAAAATAAAAAAATAATTGGAAAAATAAAATAAAAATTATCAAAAATATCTAGAGACATTAAAATGTTTAAAACACATTTTTATTAATTTTTTTATGTGAAGAGAACAATTAAAAATAAAATAAAAATTGAAAAATAAAATAAAATGAGACAATAGAAGCAAAAAGGTATGAAACAAAATTTTAAAATAAACTAAAAACAATTATAAGGCGTGTTAGGCCACAAACAAGAGGGGGGCGAATAAAAAAACTAAACAAGCTCAGTCCACAATCACACTCAGATCCACTTCATCTTGTCCACCTCACTCTCATTAATCCAGTCAGCCATCTAGTCATACACGCATGCAAATTAAAACAAAACAAATCAATTTATTTGAATTTAAAACTGTTGTGAATTACGACAAAATTTAATATCAATTTGTGAGGTAAAGAACAATAGCAACCAAAATAAATGATCTTCAGTAATAATAATCCGTACACAGATAATATAACAGAATAAGGCAAGAAAAAATCGAAGGTTTATTTATCCAGTTCGATCAAACAATCTATTCTGGGAGAGAAAGCAGCTCTTCAATTAACTATACTCAAAAAGTTGTTACAAGAGATTACATATGAGTTACAAAAAAATAACCTTCGCCTTCAGGTTCCCAAGAACAACCTTGGAGGCGCCCAAGAACAACCTTATTTTCTACCCAAGTGTTTTCCAACCTCTCCAACTCTCAATATATGAATAACTCAAACCCAAGGTGCAATCCAAGGTTTTCTTTGTGCATAACTGAAACTCTATGCTATACCTTTAAACCCTTGTTCTCCCTTGTTGGTGAAAATTCTAATATTGTCACACACCAAGCATATAAGAGATACATATTTATAATAACAAATATCCAACAAACAAAGTCCAAAATCACATGGATCCATGGACCGAACCGAAAAAGCCTAAAAAATCGAAAACACTATTCATCGTACGAACAACACTATTTACCGTACGAACTTCACTAATCATCCGTACTGATAGCACTATTTACCGTACGAACTCCACTATTCACCGATTGATTTTTTTCTCGACTTTCTGTCCGACTTTAAAACTTTCGATTTTTGCGGTAAATGCAATCTCCAAAATATATTTTCTTTCTCTTCATCAACAAAGATTTTAAGCCACATTTACAACAATATCCACCTTGACGTTAAACCTTGTTGATATCAATCAACAACGTAGCTGCTCTCTACCAAGTTGAAACTTTAATCAATAACTTTGATCAAATTCAAGCGACCCTTGAATCTTGATCTCGCAACTTGCATCCATTTGTTCCCAGTTATCCTTTCTGCCTAGGTAGTTTAACAAGCCTACAAGTATGATTTTTCAACCACCCTTGACTCCACCAGTTTTCAAATGCCTCCCTGAAGGTTTTTCTTCTTTTATTTTGCAGTCTTTCAGCCACATTATAAA